GTCCTGATGCATCTCATCTTAACCTTTTATTTTAGATTTATTTTCTCGTATTGTTTTTTGTGAAGTTGGTCTAAAAAATAAATTTCAAGTGGCATTAAAGAGGTGTTAAAAAGTCTTAAATTTAACTTGTTCTAAGCTGTAGGAACCCTGTTTGAAAAGCAGAAGATTCCCACTCAATGACAGGATGTTTAATCTAAACCAGAGGTCTCTAACACTGGTCCTCGTGGCTTCAACACACCTGGTTCAAATTAATTAATCACTGAGAATCGAGTTTAGCAAAAGCCGGTCAACGACTTGTTTTAGCCAGATGTCAACATCCAGTGTAATCTGTACCTCCAGAATATATTCTGTGCATTATCCAGGAATATTTTGAAGTCTAATAAAAGTATTATTTTTTCGTAGGATTCAAACCGTTGTTGCTTTTCTTTCTTCACAGAATCCAAGATGATCGAGAAGCACGGCGGGTACAAGTTTGCGACGCCGGTGGTGCCATCCACCTTCAACTTTGGCGGCACCGCTCCGGGAATGAATTGAGTCATCTGTTATACTTTTTTTTTTAATTACTCTGTGACTGATTGTAGTGAAGTGAAAAAAACAAAACAAAAAAGCTTGTGTTGTTCCCTAAAGTAGTGGTTCCAGAACTGGTTCTTCTGAGTCATTCTTCAATCTGTCAAATGGGAAAAAGCACCAGAAGATGTGGGGGGGGGAAGCAACCAAAACGCAACCGATGGCTCAGGAAAACAAAAACAACCAAGGACTTGAGCACGATGCAAGAGAAGAAGTCCTGAACAATGCTGTTGTCTGGAGCCCTGCATGTGTGTGTGGGGGGGTGGGGGGTGGGGGATCCCTCAACGGCAACTATTTCGTCTTTTTCTTCCCAGTCAAACAAAAGGAGTTGTGACAAATGATAATGGGACTAAATATTTCATTGTCACTGATGTGGCCAATTGGCCGTAATAAGATTAAACCTCTGGTAGTGGTGAAATCTGCGTTACTTTCTGCATAAATAAACACTCATGTTTATGTACATACAAGCCAAGGTTATGATTTTTTTCAAGTAGCCTTGAAAAAAACAACCAGGGGCTTTTATAAGGTATCAACAGCTGTATTCATATGTAGCATATTGGATAATTCATAGAACTATGTGATGCCTGATCTCTGTAAATTAATGACTAGCACTTTCATATTGTTCAGGTCTTCTAGCCTTCTGTATCAGACTGCAATTTTTTTAAAATTGAAGACTATTTAAAAAAAAAGAAGTGGCGGGTTGGGAAAATACAGCTGTAACTTTGTTTGCTTTGCAATCGTACCAGCTGGTCCTCGTTCATCTGGTTGAGAGTGGATCAACTGTGATTTGGGAAAACAAGGATTTCAGGAGAAGTGGAAGCTTTTGGTATTCGATATGACTACAGGACGAGTGTTTGCAAGCGCCGGATGTCTAAACGGATACATCGTCGAAGCATGTACAATTCAACCTATCGTGAAGGTCTCAAGCTTTTGGTTGGTGTATGGATGAACCATCTATATATACAGCATATTAAAAAAACAACATAAAAAAAGCTTAAGGGAGTTCATGGCTGTGACTGTTGTTTCCTTTGTGGTTTATGGGTTTAATGTTTCGGTTCCACTAGAGGGCAGCAGCTCTAGTTGTCAGAATTACACTTAAATTTATAAAAAGTTAACATCGCAATTCTGAACCATAAACAAACACTGGCAGATCTTACGCAGTATATCAAAGCTGAGATTTGAACTAATGTCCAAAAATAATTACACACAAGCAAAGTACCAGCTGCAATARGGGCTTTTTGTTGGTTGGTTTTGGCAACATCCAGATATTTTACGAGACTAAAAATCTGGGTTTGAACTGCTGCAAAAATAAATAACTGGTTTCTGTGCTTCAAAACTACGAGAATGTAATGAATATCTGTCCTGAACATAAAACTGACAGTCTGATAAAAACTGATGCTTCAGTGTTTTCTGCAGAGCTGAGTTCATGTTTCAGGCTGGAAATGAACGTTTACCTGGACTGAGCTTTTCCTGTCAACAAGACGACGTTTTTAGATGCCTTTTATACCAAAAGGACATTATTTTTTGTTTCTGGTAAAGTTCCTTTCTAAATTTCAGTTTTGAACTAAGACAGGTWGCTGTTAATCAGAACAAAATCATTCAAAATAAACCTTCAATATAAACAAAGCTAAAACACTTTTTTTTTTTTTGCTTTTTTCAGTAAACTAAAACATAAAGTTTTTATTTTTTTGGTCATATCGAAATTGGTGTATTTCACAAAACTGCAGTGGAACTAATTTCTTGTGTGAACTTTAAACTGATTAACACAGAAAAGTTAAACTGCACAGGATCAAGTTTGATCCTGAAAGAAAAATGAAGT